CCTATGTTACCACGGACCTTCCCGTTTTTCATTGGTCCACTAGCTTATTTTATGTCTCCAAACTTTGCCCGATCCTCGAAATAGTTCTTCCCGTATGTTACATTATTTGGTTTCTTTGATCCTTTTCGATTCCCGCCGGCCGTCTGAGCACTGGTTGAGAACACAGGTTTTGACCGGTCAGAATGTCTTCAGTTTTGGACTCAAAAACTTCTTTCAGTGTTCCAAAAACTCTGCGGATTCGCGTACGACCGGGTTGTTGCACGTTCCATTCCGCAGCTTATTCAAACTTCCTATAAGATTGCCTCTTGACGTTCGAAATTCCTCTTTCGCCGTAAAGCTTGGTGGGTTATTCAATACTTTACTGAAAGCTGCTGTTCAACCATGGATGATAACAGGGTACCATTTTCATCTAAGCCAATCCTTTTGCGCTGACTATTTCATTCCAGTTGTCCCCGGTGCAACTTTAAGAATGCGTATTTTCATTTCTCCTAATTCCTCTTTGACTGCTATCCACACACGGGTTCCAGGATCCCTTGGTTGGTACCTCGTGAAGTACTGTTACACTCACTGTCTCTCAGTTTTATAACATCCAGCCTTAGAGATTGTTCTTTTGCTTTATGACGGCGCAGTTTTTTTCAAGGGTACCCACAGCTCCGCTCATTCCAAAGAATAGTCTGTATTCACACCTTTTGGCAACATGCGTTCATGCGGCACGCACTAGATCTGACTTCATTTGCCATGTTACCACCTGTCATCATAGTGTGAGCGGCTAACTGAAGAATGTATAAATTCAAATCTCACAAGCCTCCAGTTAACGACTCAATGGTCGGGCGTTCTGAAATTTGACGAATTGATGAATGAATAAGTTGAATGAAAGTCGATAAATTGGCCCGTCAATTTCCGCTCTGGAGATAAAATACGGAGTAGACAGTTGCGGTGCTAGCTTACCTGGAAAGGCAGTAAAGTTGGTCGAAGTGTATGAAAATGTTCTAAAATGAGTGAGACCAATGTGACAAGAACTAACACCAAAGTAGGGCCAACTCGGAATGATTTCTTTCTGGACACAAGTTTGTTTTGCAGTTTCGACTGGCCACAATTGCAAACTAACGTCACTGTCTATCAGCCTTGCATGAGGGAGGATGAGATAACAATACAAGAACTTCTCGCATATATTGACACCTGTTGAAGATGCCAGCACTATCTTGCACACTTCTGAATGTGATAAACACTATCTCAAGGGTCACTTCAGTTAAATAACACTTATCTATGCACCTACGTTCACACTTGAGCAGTACGTAGCAAATCGGATGTCGCCTGTTCGTCTGTCAGAATGCGATATACGCGGCTCCACTCGTAAACGAACTTTTGTTCTTGGACTTTGCTACTAGCCCTGCTTTTATGTCCTCTTGTGTGTTGTAAACAATGTTTTGTTTAATCACTTGGACAATGCTTGGAACCGATTGAGAAGTCATTGTTTGGGGATTTAGGTTGGGAAACAATAGGTGAATTTTTTGTTTATCTCCGATCACCTGTTCCCTGTGTTGGGAGAGAGTGGTGTTACTGCTTACTGTATCATCAACTAACAAGATGTGGGAACATCACCACTTCTTTTCTACTCGGCCCCGTTATTGAATCTGTCAGTCAATTCTGATCTGAGGGGATCACTAGTGCTCACCACACTTCTACCAGAAATATAGGCTTGAACCGGTGAGGCGGCTACGATGATTTTCCCCTTTTCTGGTTTCTCTTGTTATGTCATGACAAGCAGGAGTGTTTACTCTTGTTGATTAGTTGTCATGGCAACGTCTGTGAGGTCATGATTGTTACATTCTCTGGACTAACGCCGCCAGAGACCAAAAACTGCAATAATGCATCCATGCAGTGTGGAATTGACTGATATTTACTATTACCCACCCAGGAATATTTGTCAGTTTAAATAAAATTTGTGCATGCATATTCCATCCAGTGTCCCAGTTGCAGCACATTTAGTAGTATTTCTTTCGTGAGATATAGGTACCACATGAAATTGATCAGTAACCTTGTCAAGTTACTGAATAAAAGTGTGGACATTCTTCAGGGAAGTAACGAAAGGGTTAACCTCTGGACATTGGCCTTGCTTGGATTTGAACCACTTCTTTTAGGTTCTTTATAATGGTTGGAAATTTCCGGGCTGTCGAAGAGTTTTCGCCAATCTTATCAGTAGCCCCATCCATGAAAACATGGTTATTTTTTGGCCGCTTGCTTAAAACGATAATAAATATTTATATTGGGAAAGAGCAGCAAGGAACTGGAATCTAAGCGAACCCTTTCGAGGTCAAGTGCCCTCTAACACATGACAAGACTGTATATAGTTCAGCCATGTCTGTTGAAGGGACGGCCTACATTTGACAGATGAAAATTTTAATGTATTTATACTAGAAGAGTGACTCGATTTGAGCCAGTTTTCCTCTATTTTCAGCCACAATATTTGTCTTCTTTATAAAATTTAGGTGGAATTGCTACTGAAATTTATAAACCGTGCATAAATGAACACCTCTATCTTGGTGGTCAAAAACACACTGTAAAAATTGATATTTCGCCGACGGAACACAGATTTGGGCTTAGTTACTGGTTGCAGAATGGACACTTGCAGTTCGCCCTATTGCTTCGGTGATTCCGGAAATGTCTGGATTGTTATCAAAACTACTTTATGGTGACGGAGGCGCTACATTTTTGGGTTTTCCAAGTAATACTGCACTTGTCCCCGTTGCCATTTGAACATCCCTGCGATCGGTGTGAACAGCAGTTTCCCAAGGTCATCCCATTGGTGACCTGAACCGAAATGTTTAATAATCGATAGCCATTTGGGTTGGTTTCTGGTTTCTGAATTTTAATTCTGCTCTGTTTAATTCATGTTATAATCTTTATAATCTTAGAGATTTGAGACGGACTTTCTCGAAAAATGTTCGTCCATCCGTTGTTTGCTCACACAAACCCAAGTATTGGCTCATGAGAAGGCGTAAGCATTGAGAGATTTTTAGCAGTCTATGAAAGCTTCTCGTTTTGTTCAAGATTCCAATTGTCCATATTCTTAGATGACGTTTCTGAGTATGTGAACTCTTTGAACTTCCTTGATATATATATCCTACAATGAGAACATTCTTCTTAGCTGCTGCCTCATGATGCTACCCCTCGGTACGGAGTTGGACCGTTAGAATGGATCACGAATAGTTGCTTTGTCGAATCCATACTGCTACCCGAGGTCAGGACGAGGTAGCAGACTTTATTCAAGCAAGAAGAAAGTTCTCAGGCAACAACAACACCGGACCGTACCACTCCCTTTTCATAAAACAGCTTGCGCTCAAGGAATTTTCAGGATAGTGGTGATGTCCTATTCGGCGACTCACCGTGTGCGAACCAAATAACCATGCTTTGCAACCAGATGAGGTCTTTACGCGTGGCATCGTTAATCTAGCAAATGGTCAATAAATTCAATGCTGTTTCAACGGACTTGAGCTTTGATCGTGATTTTTACTTCAGCTTGAAATTGGAATCAGCCTGTACACACCAAATTAATTTAGATCGATAGGGGTTTTCTATGGGCTACACTCGTCTGCATCTTCTGCATCTCTTCTCCATGAAGAGCAGTCACGATGAAAGTGTCAGTGAGGCGATAGCGGGGAACTTCAACTGGTTCAGTTGAGGGAGCTCTACTCTTTCAGTTCGTACGCGATGACATGGAAAAGGCTATTGTTTTTTACGGGCTGCTAGCCATCGCGGAAAAGCTATTGACATCCAGGGAATCAAAGTTTGGAGTCCTAATGCGCTTGTGTTGGAAGTCAGGTACAGATATGAGCATATTTAGAAGAACAGGTATTGCAGCTATAGTCCGAATCACTTGAATTTATTTTCTCGAGATTCTCTCGACTGCAGGCATTTGTTTCACTATTTAGCAATCCCAGCCTACGTAAAGACTTCCCCAAACTCATAGTTGGACGACTGGAAACATTGGAGGCAGAAGCCTCTTCAGTGGAGCTGAGCCTCTCAGGCCTTATCTTGCTGATCCAGACTGATATCGACGGGATTTACATAGTGCTGGTAGCACGATTCGTAAACGTCTTTTGATTGGCGATTCGGCAGAAACTCCGAAATGTCGTTGGCGGTATACTCAGTGGGTGTCGCACCAGCGGTTGGATTGGTGGCCTTATATTTGCTTGAACGGACAGCAGTTCCGTCATCACGTGTTCCTGTGACAGCCCCACGTGAACAGTATCCTTTGTGATTGTATGGACACAACTCAACTTGTCATTGGGGATCCTGTGCCACTGGAGACACCATGTACACGATACTTCACTGGTTCCGCCTGTCCTGTGCCAGGGCCATTGACACCACTCGGATCGAACAGTATTCATGCACTTGATTTTCAAGCATTAGATAGACTTCGTCCGCGGTATCAAGTCATACGGCCATAAATGTTTGCCCCGGGACCAATAATTAATTAGTTAAATATTGCTATTCTCATAAAGTTGATTGATTAATAAAGGTAACTCCATACGAGTGAGGTGTTTGCGCAAACGACGCTTTTGTGTGTTGCAGTTTTACCTTTCTCCTTTCTTTAGTAATTATAGGATAAGATTATCGAAATTGTCTTGGGTTGTCGATAGATGGGCAATCCAAGTGTCAATGAAACACCTACAATACGAATGGCACTCACATGGGCTCTATGTATTAATGTACGAGAGTTATAAGTGAACTGTATTTCTCAATTTCAGGAAGAGAAGAAATAAATCAATATGCTTCGCCCAAAGTCTGATCCGTTCTGGTTCTTGGACCCACCACTTTTGTTGTTGATTTCCTCTGTAACATCATTATCTCATCCCTGTTTTCTGACTTTTTACTTCCCTATATTCTGGACATCATCACCTGCCACCTTCACTTGTGTAAACTGACCATTTAAATAAAACAAGATTGGGATCAAACATTAGTGAACTAATTCTGCCCTGATTCCATTCAAAACCTAGCCAAAAACACATCTTGCTCTCTGGCATCCGCAATTCTTGGTCGTCAGTCGGAGCGACAGAACTAATTTCCGCGCGGATTCCTGAGGAGATTGTTTCCGACACCAAATCTTTCTCTCCGTCACACCTACATTCCACTGCGCCGCTTGGTAATGTTGGTTTACCACCCCCAATGAATTTTGCTGTTGGGACAAAGCTTCGGAGTCAACCAAAGGTGACCGTTCCGAGCCTAAACAAACTTCACCAAGCCCCTTCAGTGGACCGCTCCATGGCGGCACCATCGGCTGACGCTCAAGCTCTGTCAGAACGTTGCTGTCTACCAGTTACAGCACCGGTACTTCGACCACCCCGACCACCTTTAAGAACAACCTCCTTGGTTCGGGGTACGCAGTCGCGGGAGGCAAGTTTTTCGGATTCCAACGGAATCCATTCCGAGCCCAATGCCGTATCCATGGACTTCGGCTGTAAGGTAAGGCTACTGTGCTCGGTTTCAGGGTACTAGGTGTTGGCAGTCTTCTGTACTTCCATACACTCTCAACCTGAGTCTGAATCACCATACTTCAGTTAAATGTTTCCTGCACTAGAATAAAGGTTTTTGGTGACTGTCAGTGCTTTTCTGATGTGCTTCACGTATTCCTGTAATCTGAATTTCGGTCCGATAACGCGTGTAACTTTGCTTCTGCTGTGTTAGTGAAGCCGGAACTGAATCACTGACTGGAATGTAATCAAGCAATGTGACATCGTCTTCATACAAAACAGTGAACTCGAATAATCCGTATTGTCATGGCAGGGGAATGGTGTGTGCCATGATACGCTAGGTGATCGCCTCCCTCATGCTACCATCGTTTGTCTCCTGAAAGTGGGTCAGTAATAGTGGGCACCACTGGAAAAAATTCAGCCTACTACCTACCTGGTCTATCGTCCATCTAAACGAGAAGTGTCGTTCAACTTATACAGCTGAATTTGAATTGCTGAGACTATACCGAGTAAGGTCTAAGCTACTTGTTTGAGGGATTTTGTTGCGGAATTTCTCAGAGTGGCATGTATGATGTGGGCGGTAAATGTTTGTCCACTTTTTCGTGGTTGTTTTTTATATTGCCGCACAATCCTGGGGGATTACGCCTTGGGTTAATGATACTAAGCGATATGTTAACGCATCATCCTTATCCACAAAGTACACTTCATCCTGCAGCTCGTTCCTCAAAGACGACTGAGAATTTCGCATAGATAAGTGTCTCCACGGTTAATGGCCCCAAACATTCCGTTACATTACTTTGTTTAGAGTAAGCCGGCATCGGAACACCTAGATCTTTGGAAAAATGAATTTACACCATCTTTACCTTAGAGAAGGTGGTTGAACATCGCCATGGCTTCGGGCGATCAACGATGACCATTTCTATGAAGCCTCTCCTGAGTCATTCAACTACCATAAACTATAACTGTCCACCGGTCCAAAGTGTATATTCCAAATTCCTGCCTGGCGCTCAAACGCGTTTACAGCACATTATTAATTTCGTTTTCCACATCCGATGTTGTCATACCAAGGTGTCTTGCATCATCCTCTGTCCTCAAATTCCTCACTGTTGTGCTACTCTAATCTTTTTCGATTGATTCGGTAACCTTATTATCCGAAATACTCCCACTAACTGTCATTCTGGGGTACCCATTACGCTAGACTCGGATACTTCAGAATTCCCGCTCGCCTTGCTGTACACTTTGGCATAAGCAAGACTGAGAAAATATATTTGTGGGTAAGGTGGACGTCATGTTACACAGCTGCGTTTACCTTGGTAGCTGCGTAATTTCCCTTGGGGTGGCGAAAGATATCATATTTTGAATTGGAAGGACTAGGGCGACTTTCCCACCTAGTGTCCATGGCACTGCTTGGGTGCACCTATCAAGTGCAACGTCTACTGCGTTGTGGTAGAAAGCTAGGTGGTTTGTGGGAGTGCGACGTGTCCGAATGGAGTCATACGATGCCATCCAGTCATTCATCAGCCCCTATTGCTACTTGACACTCTTCTCATTGGAATGCGACGGCTTTCCGCTGCCAAAATTGGGCTGTCATTCTGAGTTCGTCGTAGTTTTGGTTGATAAATGTGTCTGGCAAATCCTAAATGTAAAGACCGATTGCCTCTATTTATTCATTTCATCCACAACTACGCTCTCCTTGCCCGTGAAAGTTATTGCCTATCTCTGCAAACGTCTGGGTTTTACTGATTGAACGATACTCATTGCAATAAGAATGACCAGTATGGAGGTCGTTGACAGCCCTCTACCAATTTCACCCTGTTTGGGACTTTCATACTGATTACATTGGGATGAAAGAAACTCTATTAAGTTTCTTCGCAGCGGGACATCGAGGTGGCCAATGTGCTTCATAGTGTGCAGAAGAAAACCAGCATACTATTGACCATGAGATACTTTATCGAGCTTGCAAAAGAATATTGGTAGCTATGAGTTATTCGTTGGGACTTGACCAGGTAGCTGTTGCTCTGTTCGCCAAGCTTGGAAACTGACTTGCAGACGTTTATTCAACATTAGAGGAAACATCATCATGCACTGTTGGTAATATCTCATTGAATGGTGACAAAACGTTTGCCAATCTGTCCGGTGGGCAGATAAACACCACGTGATCAACCCCCAACTTCATCGAGTCTCTTTGGAGTTCTATCACATTTTCTATACGGATGCACGCAGATGAGGGATAACGCTTCACTACATGAAATAGAACACAATGCAACAAATTAATACGATGACCCTTGTGTGATGGAACAAAGATTGATGCTGAGAGGGGAGTCGATTCGTGATTTTTGATAAATATTTATTCCAAACGGTACTCATTTGATTTCAGTGGCCTCGAAGATGAATGAATATGCTCCAGTTCAATTGGATGTTTCAGATTTTGTCGCTTCATTGAATCACGATAGGTGATATACACTCCCGAATATATCAAGGCATGATGTACCGAAATGGTAACTTTAATGTTTCTTGTTCTGGGCGACATGTCGTGGTAAGAATTTCGAGCCAGGAACTTTTTTCACTTCGTTAATTTAGGGAAGCGGTGCTAATAGTTATCAGATATCTCATTTTAATACTGATGTGGCTCTCTTTCATTAAAGTGGTGTCCCACGCTATAGTATCACACTGATTACACAGCTGTGGTGCAGTCTTGGGTGTACCTCTTGCTAAACATTGTGTTGAACGTTCCGTCTATGATGCTGATGTCGTATGCCTCTTTACTTGTTTCCATAGCGTTCCTCTTTTGCCGAATCGGAACCCCCTCCGAGAAGCTGTTCAGCTGTATCAGGAACTGGTGATCTGATTGACAAGTTGGCGGACATTGAAGTTGAGCAAGCCGTTTGTAACAAGGAGACAATGTGGTGGCTTCGACTACTACCCTACAAGCCGTCTAACTTACCCACAAATCTTGCGGATCGTCTACGACAGCGTGACAGTCTTATCCTTTCCAGGGCCTCACCAAGTACGGTTTTGTCCAATAGTTCCTTACCCACGTCATTACCACAATATTTTGTACCGACCACCCAGGCTAAAACCTCAGAATCTCCTAACCTTATGTCGCAATCTATGTTTGAACAGCGTGACCCAGCTGACCGTTTCTCTTTCACAGCTGAGCCCAGTTGTGAACAAAATGCGATAAAAACACAAGCAAGAAAAAACAGACCACGACTTACGGTACGGCCGTCCAGTTTGTATACTGAAAAAGCCGATTCTACCAAAATTATGGTGTCCGCGTCAGTTTCAGACGGTGGAAGTGGAGGTTGCAATACTCCTCAGAATTCTCTACAGGAACAGTCTAAATCGTTTACTCCCACTCAGTGTCCGACCGAAGCAGAACTGCCTTCTGCTGCATTAAAGAGCGGAGCACATTGCCGCCCACCGGACAGCCGCTTTCCTGTAGAAACGGGCCAGACGGACAGTCCCCTCTTGGGACAGTACTGTCGCCTGCTTATTCTATGTTCCTCAAATCCAGCGGCACCTACTAATTCAGGTGATCTTCCAACTCCTTCAGGTGAAACTGCTGTTACTCCCATTTGAGAGGGCTTGCTTTTTTTAAGTTGATTGTATAGTGTGTAAATATTACTTTCTTTTCTTTCATTCTTATTTATAATTTGCACTTAGCCTGCTTTTTGAACAGATGTCTTTTCAGCCTGTGTGCAGTAGACCAGGCTTGTCTCGTTTCACTTGTTTGACTGTGACGAAACTGGCTTAACTGCACAGTTCTGATCAATTCGGCTTTTTAAAAAGAAGCACTGCTTGTTTCCGGGGTCACTGTATTCAATCGCTATTTAATAGGATAGGAAATTATTATGATATAAGATGACTCAAGTGGTCCAGGGACAGACTTCTAAATTGCGGTGCAAATCTACCGACTCCAGTGACCACATTGTATGAAAAACAGAGACAGTATGTGATGGAAGGCTGAAACGCCATTTCTGCGAAGGTAGATGGTTTTTCTTGCGGCATATGTTTCTAGGCTAAGTGTGAACAGTTTAAGTGGAAAGCACCAGAAGTCCACTCACTTACGCGTGTCACATGGCACGTGAAGTACTACCCAGAGGCACCGACTGAGAGTGGTCGTGGATTATGAATGGGATTCGCTTTGTTTGACATGGGACGACGCAGAGTTCCAAATGATTTGACTTTAAGTTTTGAACCCGCTGTATACCATCTCTAAGCCAGATGTTTATTATAGTGGTCAGCTTTCACAATTTTATTAACCACATCGCCGTTGGCACAGCTACTCACAAATTACCATGCTTCGTGACTTCAGACATAGCTGGAACCGCATCGTTCAAGCGTACATCAGTATGATCTTCTACCAATAGTTCCCAACTTTGTCGATGGAAGCCAGAACGCTTCTGCACTTCACTACAGAAAACCCCAATCGATTCGCCCAAGATATCGCAGTACAGTGGGTTAGAGCGGACAACTGAATGATTTTTTATAGAAGGATGTGCTACTCACAAAAACTCCCCACTGATCGTATGGGTATTGCATTCCAAAAGTCTGCTGCATTATCTTGAGTATCGTGAGAACTGAAACATGAGGCGGCTTTTGTCCAGAACATTCACTTGAAGAATATCACAAACAAGTTCAGCGGGGGTTCAGCTGAGTCCCTAGTCAAAAGCAACATAATTTTCAGATTAGTATATTTGGTCCAAATAATATGCTGTTCTCATTGGAAGATCGTTTTTATAAGTATGCATGTTCGAAGGCTTATCTCCTAACGGAGGAGCTTCCAGCTCTAAGGACGGACATTTATTTTTGTTGTTTCTCCTATTCCTCCGGCTCCATAAGCAGATATTCTCAAGAATTTTTATGGACAGGATTTTGACCAACATTGTACAGCGTAGTAAAGAACTCCTCTGTCTACTACATATTTCAGCAACTATCTAATGAAAGTCTATGCACACCTATAGACTGTTGATCAGATCCAAATCTGCAGTTGCCATGTTGCCAGCTACTGCTTACGAAGAACGGTCAACAGGGCGTTGAGACATTTGTGGCAGAGGGTATAGTTCTCTCCAAACAACCTGCAGTCTCATCAACAACACATGCTGACAGCTCTTCTTCCTCATAATGCTGGAGATATTTCCCACCGATTGTCACTACTACATTGCTGCGCTAACTGATCAGTTGGAAAAAATTTACCGCCATTGACAGGAGTTAAATGTAAGGTGCTAGGGCAAATCGAACACCACGAAGCTTTGTGCAGATGATGTAACTGCTTCAAACATACATAACTCAACAAACCTTCAAACCCACATAAACCTTAGTGCACTGGCGGATGACAATCGGGCTTCATCTTGCCCACCGTAGACTGGCAATCTGTTTTCGGATTGACCTGTTACATCAAACTCTACAAGTGGACTCCTACACACACGAGTTAGTGCGGTGCGTTGAGCCTCCAACTGAATGTCACATACCCGCTGTAAACCCGAGGAAATAAAGCAGGAAGGATAGTTCTAAAGTCAAACGCATGCCAAACTGGTGACCCATAGTTAGGGATCCCAATGGGTGGAAGTGAAAGTTTCAACTGCTCAGCCCAATCGAACTGTCGTCTGGCCTGCGCAATTCTCTCTAAACCATTTGTTGTAGACGTGAGCGAACGTGCTTTTTTGTTGTTTCCTTGTAAATAAATCGGAGGGAGCTGCGTTTTTTCCAGTTATTAGCTGATTTGTGTTCTTCTTGGTATCATGGATGTGGTTGAACAACCCGGTAGACAGCCGTCCCATTCATCTAGTGTTTCAAGTTGTCAGATGTCTGCTGGCGGGTTGGATGAATTGAAGGCTATCGTTTCAGAAGCCAGTTAGTGCTATTCCTCCGAAAGGACCTCCACATTTTACGCAAATCTTTGAAGTTTAAATGGTGCAGTTAATATTGTGTTTCTTGACTTTGGGATTCTTTCGAACAAAGTCGGTTGCTCATGTGACGCTAACTTCTAACATGCTGCTGGCGAGCGTTAACTTAAGCTAGTAGGTTAGTGTGACAACTTTATGAATATGTCCATGTGGCGATGTTTGGTTATTCGAAGACAATTTCGGTTTGGTGAATGCGTAGCGCGAAGTCTGAGGAGTGGGTCACCGTTGCCGTTTTCGCACGACGCATGGACTCAGGGATGGTCTCTAGCGGCACATGCAGTAAGGTTTCCAAGGCAAATAACCTTGTCGATTTTCGGAACCGACGGAGCAGAGTACCAATTTCGACATAGGTGATTTTGTGGTCGCTTGCTGAGAATAGAGGTGGAGCAAATACACATCATTTTCACTTATGATCGGCCTGTCAATCTCAGGCGGAAGGAAGAAGGATTTTAATGGATTCTACGAGGCTCTAAATCGAGCACTTTATTGACTTCATGAACGTTTTGTTAGTTAGCCAAGCGTGTTTTCCTGAGCCCCCTGTACCGATTCCATTTGAACTAAGGCGCATTCCTGATTGGCGCAGTCTGATTGTTATTCAGATTCTGCAGTTTTTGGATGTCTTCCGAGCCCAAAGCTAGCGGCTACTCTGGAATAACGCGCTCACGAAAGATTTCTTGCAAAAGACAAATTCGCATGGGCTGCTAGGCTCCTCCCGGAGGCACAGTCGGATGAAGAAGGTGTGACGCTTTCGTTTCAGCAGATCGTACTTTAGACTAACCACGCAGCCCGGAAGTCTGATCAGTACAATAGTTGCCAGGAGCAAGACTCAGGGTTACACTGTATTCACACCCTCTTCGACAGAAAGGCTATTGGCGCATGCCTACTAAATAGTAGTCTCAGGTTTCATAAAGGGAACTACTCACAATTTTGCTAGAAACTTATCAGCAACCTTGTGAATAGTTTCCTCACACGCTTGTTTTAGACGCACTATCACACATTCAAATCAGGTAGTACCGGCGGATGGAGAACACAGCAGAATGTAAAATACAGAGAAGCACTTCAGAGTAGTGTTCTAGTGTACAGTCAATGGCGCTAGGTTGTTTTTGACGTGAAAAATTGTATTGAACATGAAATAGGTAGTTTACAGTGGCAGGATACAGCAGATCATACATCACTCGCTGTTGTTTCAGAGAGCAGAAAGTGCTAACACAATCAAGACTCGCACACCCCACACGATGTAGGATGGAAAGAAAGGTCCACTCCATGTACATGATAACAAGGTATCAGTGGTACGACTAAACGCCACAGTGGTAGCCAACATTAGGTCTCTGAGAAGCCATAGGAGAACAACAGCCTCGAAATGTTAGTGAAATCACGCGGCCCGTAAGAAATGGTGGGCGGTTCTTGGATCAGAACATCAAATGTGGATGAATGGTGCGTCGAAGGCTGCGGTGAAGTGGGGTGAGATTCGTGCACTTTATTCGTGACACTAATTCACAACTGAACAATGGTGAGGTCACCAGGTTGACGCATTCTCATTTGTCCCGGTTAGTGATTGAGCTCACACCACACGCTATTCACGATCATTTGAGAGCTAATATGGTCACTCCCAAGAGAAGCGAAATCGTAGTGGGGTGTCGAAGGTTCCGTAGCGTTATGATTAGTGCTTCTTCAATAAATGTACTGCACCATCTCACATATCATACCTAATGATACAGGTGCAGCACATGCAGTTGAAGAATATCAACAATGAGATTCAGGTCTCATGTGTGACTCAACACTGTTCCAACGGATGCACCAAACATTGGGGTTCAGTGAGGTTTCAGAATAAAATGTGACCTCATTACCTGTACGATCCTGTGCTAAGGCCGCGATCTCAAAGCAAGGAATAGGTTACTTAGCCTAAACGCACGATCTAGGTGTCCTATCTGACAGGTAACGTGCAGTCTAATTCACCAACGGACGGTCAGTAATAATTGCGGCGAAACCGAATTCTACGAACTTCACCTGGGTTTGTTCAGTAGTCGCAATTGGGCAGTGAACAATATATTGAATTGGACTTGGGCAGACAGTACAGATATGTAGACCGTGGTTCTATAGGAAATTAACAGTAAATCGTGAGGAGAGTTAAAGAAAGGCTTACGTCGAGATTAAACCTTGGGCACTTAGCAACACAGGATGGCACACAAAGGGCAGCGTGCTATCGGACAAATTAAGCGGGAAAATTGTTCAGTTCAAAGTGGAACAAAATTTCAACAAGTCCATGGATAACTGTAAACAAATCGTCTATAGAAATGGTTGAGGTAGAATCGGCTTTGTATAAAACAGAACGGTTCAGTCTTGAAACTTGAGCAGTCACGGAAGGGTGATGAACTAGCCTGAGGAATAGGGAAACAAATAATTACGTCACTTAATTAACATTACCATAACAACATTTTACATTTTACATTATTCCCCTCGTTCGCTTAAAGTTTATACCACCTGAAGGATGGTCAATCTGAAATCCATCAAGCGGCCGACTTTCGTAAATCACAACTATGACATTTTTGTCACCTCACTCATCGGCCATCCCATTTTTTATGTCGTCCTCTGTACTCTGAACACTGGCCGAAAAATTTACCTTCAT